TCGCACTCATTTTGCCAAGCAAAGGCAAAAAAAGTTTTTAAAAGTTTTTTAAAGCAACGTGGAAGAGCTGTAAGTAATGAAGAATGACGTTTGCTTTCTAAAAAAAACCCAAACCCCTATGTTGTACAATAATGACATAGCTGGAATGGACTATTTCCAGTGCTGCACTTGGAGAGGTTGAAAATCCAAACATGCCTCCTAATTTTAGTGTACTCCTAATTTTAGTGGTTTCCAAGGTCTGCTTGTGAAATGGGAATTTCATAATCTTGGTTCAAAGATTGAAGCAGGCTAAAAACAGTATTTGCTATGAAAGCTCAAATTTTTCCTTTCGCTGAACTTACTTTCCCCACCGCAAGTAGGGACAGTTGAAAAATAGTAACAACATCTTATTTGCACATACCAAACCACTAGTTTCTTTACTCAGAAATCTCATCTAAAAATACACAATGATGATTTCCCAGATCAGAACACTTGAAAAAATGGTTATAAATATTAATTCAACAGCATGACTGGACTCTCTCCTTGCAAAAGCAAACAAAGTGAAGTAAGTCCCAGTATGCATTTCACAAACAATTCCAACTCTCTTCCAACCCTGGCCACCACCTCCACCTGATCAAGTATATACTTACGTGTGAACAATTATAGCTTAAAGTTTATTTGAAGTCAGCAGTATCAAGTATTAAGGGAAAGTGACCTGAAATGGCAGCAATTAAATAAATATTAATATTTCATATCATTAATATATTTTCTCTGAGTCTTTTCGTGGTATTCGCTTTTCATTTTATTTTTACTAGTAATGCTTTTTCTGTTTAAAATGGGGGAAAGTAAACCATCGACTATAAAAGCAAAACAGCAAAAACTGCTCTGTACCGGCTGTGAATTGGACCTAGTAAACTAGAAAGGAAGTTACACCAATCTCAATTCTACGTACAAAAAGTAAGTGAAAGGCCAGGAAATGTAGAAATATATCGGCCAACACAAGGTAAGAGTCTACCTGTAGCCTGCATACAGCTGCCACAGGTAACAACAGCAGCAAAGATGCATCTTGCGACCCATACAAGCTGGGCTGCAGGCATACCTGTGCTGCCGTCAGACCTTCTGCCGCTGGGCAGAGAAGCCCACGACTGTTGTGTGACGATGACACTGGTACCAACGAGGCAGTGCCGCGTCCCGTCTGCGTAGACGGCTTCAGCTGGAGCTGGTGTCCTGCAGTGGGCTCTCAGAGAAGGGGCTGAATTTCTTCTGAACAATGAAAACTAGGAGGCACCTGGCTGCGAGCAGGTGAGTGCTGCAAAAAGAGACGGCGAGGGGAGGAAAGGTCCTCATGCCAGCCTTGGCTGGTGTCGGCTGGCGAGCCACCAGCCCATGTCCCTCCGTGTACATCGTCTGGAGAACGGAGCAGAAGACATTAAACGCTGATTGGGGTAGCTCATACTGTGAGGACGAACTGGAAGACTGTGGTTTTAGCAGGTAGACCTTAGGCTTACGTGAGGTGTAATGAATGGATGCCAAAATGTCTATATGATCGGCCAAGGGTGGGAAAGGATGAAGAGATAAAGGGGAGTCCATATGTAGATCTTTACCAGACCCTGCATTTTCAACTGCTTGATCTGGATTTGTGTTCTAATGCTTTAAATTAATAAACATGTATTAGTAACCCTAACTCTGGCTTACATTTTTATTTAGGCAATTAATTTATGTTTGTTCATTTTGCATAGAGACACACAGAAGCAGAAAGGTTTTTTCTATTAGGCCAGTTCAGTTTTAAACCTTGGAAAATTAACAGAAGGGGCTGAATTAACAGAAGAGCCCTCCTTCAACCACCGGAAGCCCCTTCAAAGCTTGTAGGAGCTGCCATTTCTGCCCTTGTGCCAGTGGGTATTTCAAACGGTAAGCTCCGTGAGCTCGTAAAAGCCATTGCAATTGAGTAAAGAAACTGGTAAGCTGGAAAAATATGAATGGTTTCACATACTATTTATAGTTTCAGAATGTGCCATGTGTTATCAAATGGCAGTTAACTTTTCATGAGTTTAGGAAGATTTTAATCCAACCAATCTATCCATTATGAGCTGTATGCCCAATGCACTTGGGTTTCTGTTTTAAGTCTTCATGTTTTCTTGAAAGGGGAAAGACTCCCAAGATAGTGCAGGACTCTGCATTAGCCAGTTATTAGAATTAGGCATAAGGATGGGGTTCAGATTTTTCTCACAGATACTACACTTTTTTGTACAGACAAAGGAAAAAGTGTATTTTTGAGATACAAAACAGGGCCTGGTCATCACCTTTTGTTTTGGAACAGAAAAAAAAAAAAAAACAAAGCAGCAAGACCAGTGATGATAATTATGGAAAGAACAGCTGTTAAAATTGCTAACAAATATTGCAGAATGGGACTGGAAAATATCCGAGAGAGAACAAAACTAGGAAAAAAAAGTTCTGAAATCTTATTTAAAGTAACTCTGACGAGGTCTGCTCTAACCAGTGTGCAAAATATGTCTTTTCAACAACACTTTTCAATAAAATTGGGATAGACCCAAATAGCATGAGGCCACAGCAGGGACTGCCAGATTATTTAAGTTTGAAAATACAAACGCCGTTCCCAGCAGTATCCCGTTGTAGAGGCGGCTGTACTCGGACTGCTTTTCCCTCACCTATTTGCACACAGGGGTCAGTCTTCAAAGTCCCTAAGCACCCTCTAAAAATAAATGTCGGAGATCGTTCCCTGCTGCACTTAGGCTCAGAAGCTGTGTAGGTACCAGAAAGCCAAGCGGTCTCACACCCATCCCACCGTGACCCCGACGGACGTCCGCCGCTGGGGTAGGGCAGCTGCGGGGAGCGCGGCGGGTGGCTCAGTGCCTTCTCCCGTCCTCAGCCGTCTCCATCTCGCCGTACCCCCTTCTTGCGGCAGAGCTGCCACCAAGGCGTTTTCTGCCTTGTGGCCTCCCCAGGCTCTGGGGCTAAAACACATTTCCTGCATATGGGCATCAAGTAGGTGCCACTCGGCTTCATTCACATTCGCTTTAAAAGACGCCTCATACAGCGCCAATCCAAACACAGGTATTTTAGGGTAAAGCAGGGTCTCAGAAGGGACACTGCACAAGACAGCGAGTCTTCAAAGGGATTTTTAGACATCAAGAACTCTAGCGGCTTAAAAAACTTTTCAAACCCTATTGTCTTATAGCTAAGCCTTTTCTTTCATACTTCAGGAACAAAACACTCCCTCATCCCCCAAAGAGGATATTTTTCAACACCTGTCATGGCTAAGAGCCTTAGGGATTAGTTTCTTAAGGGAACTAATTCAGCCAGGAGGAAAGGGGAACTCGTGTGTTGTTCCCAAACACCATTTAACATTTAGACTTGAGGTGCACATTGCAATAATCATTTTGTTAGCAAGTCAGGAGAAGAGCTGAGGTAAGCGGCAGTCGTATATCAATTTTAGTTGAAGAGATGCAGCTGCTACTGTGCACTAAACAAGTTTCCATGCCAGCTCAAGATGAGGTAACTCAGAAAAGAGAGCCATCTTTTTTCTTTCTACAGGAAACGTTTACAGTCTGATAGAAAATATTTTATGCATTTACCTTCTGGAGGTAGGTCCTACAGTAATCACAGAGAAAGAAATACGGTTCTTTAAAGGCTATTAGGAGGAAGCCTTGTAAAAAAAAAAAAAAATCTATCTCTGTGTTCTTAGCCTTCACTAAATTAGCAAAATCTCCTCCTTGGTGAATCAAAAGTGATAACCAGCTAGTAATTGCATTGCTTATGGGAGGCTTCAAGTTTCCAGAGCAACAGCACGCCTGTAACGCAAGGCTTGTCTTTGTTGCACTGTTGGCCCAAAGCAGAGCTCAAATTTTCTGTCTCGGCCAGCTCACACACAAGCTCCAGAGCCTCCATCCTTTCTGGGGGACGCTGGCAGCCCAGACCTGGCCAAGCCCCGAGGGGATGCAG